TTTCAGCATCATACCTCTAGTCTTCTATGGAAGCTTGTTTCCGCCACAGAATAAAAATTAAAAAAGGTAATTGCTACTTTTTATCTCACAATTCTGAATTTTTTTCTCAGTCAGATGTAAACTCGCAATTGTGAGATGAAAAGTCGCAATTATCAAATGTTTTATTCTGTGAAGGAAACAAGCTTCCATAGTCTTCAGTGTCACATGATCCTTCAGAAATCGTTCTAATATGCTGATTTTCTGCTTAAGAAACAATTCTTATTATAATCAATGTTGAAAACGGTTTTGCAGCTTAAAGGGTTAGTTCACCCAAAAATGAAAATTCTGTCAGTAATTACTCACCCTCATGTTGTTCCAACCCCGTAAGACCTTCGTTCATCTTCGGAACACGAATTAAGATATTTTTGATGAAATCTGAGAGCTGGATCACTCCTCCATACTAGTCCATAGGCTTCTTCAGGGATTGAACTTGCCGGCCTCGAAAAGTTATTAAAGACATCGTTAAAATAGTCCAAGTGACTACAGTGGCTCAATCTTAAGTTTATCAAGCGACGAGAATAGTTTTTGTGCGCAAAAACAAACAAAAATAACGACTTTATTTAAACTATTCATTTCCTTCTCTGTGGGCCTCGAGTCAGTTCACTAGTGTAATAGCGTAAGCTTCTGTTGTTGTACGTCACACGCTTCACGCACATGACCAGCGTCGGCCAATAGTGAGCCTACGTGTGACGTAGCTCTACGGAATCACACTAGTTAACTGACTCGAGGCCCAAAGAGAAGGAAATGAATGGTTGAAATAAAGTCGTTATTTTTGTTTGTTTTTGCGCAGAAAAACTATTCTCGTCGCTTGATAAACTTAAGATTGAGCCACTGTAGTCACTTGGACTATTTTAACGATGTCTTTAATAACTTTTCGAGGCCGGCAAGTTCAATCCCTGAAGAAGCCTATGGACTAGTATGGAGGAGTGATCCAGCTCTCAGATTTCATCAAAAATATCTTAATTCGTGTTCCGAAGATGAACGAAGGTCTTACGGGGTTGGAACAACATGAGGGTGAGTCATTACTGACAGAATTTTCATTTTTGGGTGAACTAACCCTTTAATATTGTGGAAACAGTTTTATATATATATATATATATATATATATATATATATATATATATATATATACATTTTTCTTTCTTTTTTGATGAACAAAAATTAAGCGTTTATTTGAAATAGAAATCTTGAATTACATCAAATGTTTTACTGTCAGTTTTGATCAATTTAATGCATCTTAATTTCTTAAAAAAGAAAAGAAAAAATTCTTTCTGACCCCAAACGTTTGAGTGGTAGTTACACAGTTGATTTTAATCATAATACTGTTTCACTGCATAGGGCAACATGCAGCGCTGCAAGCTGGTGATGGACCAGATCACTGAAGCCCGTGATTCCATGTTAAAGGTGCTGGATCACAAGGAGCGTGTCATGAAGCTGCTCAACAAGAACAGCAGCGCTAAGAAGCTCAATAAGCTGAAGCGTAAGGACAGAGCGTGAGATGCACGGACTGGGACAGGGTTCAGCATGAGCACAGAACCTCCTGCTCCATGACCTCTAGCATGCAGGCACACTGCCCTGGCTCACTCGGTCTCTACCAGAAGAGATTCACTTCGAGTCCTGACCTGATGGCAAGACGTCTTTATCTGGCAAGCCCTTCCTCTCCCACAACCACAACATGCATCTCTAACTGTATCTTCACTAACATATGAACATCTTTTTTTTAAACAAGTCAACTCGGTCACAAAGAGGTCATTTTAGGGAAGTTATTGGATGTTGAAGATTCCATTTTAAAGTTGTACATAAGCAGATATCAGTAAAAGCAATGCTGTAAGTCTATAGATTATATTCACCACTTTTTCATTTGGGTGCCTTGAACGATGACCTGGTGTTGACATTCGTCTGTACTGTATTAAACACCAGATGGCAGTATTTCGTAATTGCCGTTCTTCACACCGAAAGGTTTCCATTTTGTATTGTAGCACTTGAAACAATAAGAATTGAGAAGCCATAACAACACCATCCTCGCTGTCCTAAATGAACAAAGACTGAAGTATTTTACCACATATGATTTGTGGGAAACGTTAAAGGTGCTTTGGTGAAATGGAGTATTGTGCCTTTCTGTGTGCCTCATAAAACATTGGGTTTGTTGTGATGGAAGCAGATGTTTTGTGAAGGTTAAATGGAGTCTGAATGTCTGAATCATATTACGTTCTCCCGTCACGGTCTGTCGATTTGTGAGGATTATTTTATTTTATCATCAGTCTTGCAAGCGCTGGCTTTCTAGGTTGGCTCTTTTGTCGGGGGTGGGGGGGAGGGATTTATTTTGTGCATTAAGGGTGGTGAGAATCATGTTCAGATATGACGTCAATCAGAATTTAGAGGAGAGATTTGTAAGTTAAACCTAAGTATATATATAAATATAAAAAATAAGCCCTCTACCATTTTTTTTTTCTGTCATCGTAAATGAACAATATTATGTTTATTTTTCCAGTTAAGTTGCTTGAAGCAGTGTCATTTGTGGCAAAGATAAAGCGTTGTATACTGTTTGATCTCTGTTTCATTTTGAATGACATTTCATGTTGCACTCCACTGCTGAAGTAAAGAAACTTTGAACATGTATCTGCGGATGTGTGTTTTTTTCTACAAAGTCTAATTTAACTCGGTAATCTAGATACTGATGTATTCCCTCCCCCCAAATCAAGCCACTGGTTACACAAAACCATGGTTTTACCATTGTATTTATACTTCTGTACACCATAGGGGGTGTTTTATTTATTTAGTTAGTTTTTAAAAAAAAATTATACTTTTATTCAAGGCAAGGCATGTTTATTTATATAGCACATTTCATACACAATGGCAATTCAAAGTGCTTTACATAGAAGAAATTAAAATAATCAAAACAAGTAAGAATAATTAAAACAGTTTAGAATAAAAAATCAAATAAAGTAGTACTGGTCCCCCCCTATCTGAGATGGAAGAGATTGAGCCGGTTAACGGTGCAACTGGACCTCTAGCCCATTATTCAGCAAGGATGCTGGTCAAAAGTTACAGGAAAGGCATTTATGATGTTACAATTAATTTCTATTTAAAATAAATGCTGTTCTTTTTTTGCTTGCTTAAATCCTTAATCAATTTCCACAAAAACATTGAGAGTTCTCAACATTGAGAATAAGAAATATTTGAGTACCAAATCAGAAGATTTTACATTTGAAAATACATTTTTAAAATAGAAAACAGTTATTTGTAAATATATTTCACAATATTACTGTTTTGTTATATAAAAAATAAAAGCAGCCTTGGTGAGCAAAAATAAATGGATATTAAAGCTTTATAAGGCTAATTTGGAAATCGTTTACATTATTTTATGATTTACTGACTGGTCAAAACATGTTAGTATGCACTAAACAACACAAAGAAAAACGGTAATATTGAGAATTCAAAAGCACTATTTTCATTTTGAAATATGTAAATAAAAATGTTTTATTAAAAATAATAAAAATGTAATCTATTCCTGTGATGCAAAGCTGATTTTTCAGTATCGTTTTCAGCAGTCACATGATCCTTCAGAAATCATTCTAATATGCTGATTTGCTGGCCAAAAAACATTTCTTATTATAATAAATGTTAATACTGTTGTGCTGATACATTTGAATCAGTTTAATGCATCCTTTCTTAATAAAAGTATTTATTTCTTAAAAAAAAAAAAAATCTAACTGACCCCAAGCTTTTGAACATGTATGTAGGTATAACCCAAATAGAGATTTAATTATTTTAAACAAGTAGTCCTTTATAGGTTTATAAAAAATAAAAAAACAGAAAATCTGGTGCTGCTTATTGTATTTTTCCCTTTCTGACAATACATGCCGTTTTATCTAGGTAATGAATCACTGTCCAAATCATCTCCTCGTCTGGTTGTCTTAGGGGCTGGTATTGAATGCATTTAGATAAGCAATCGGTTTGTAGGGTGTGACTACCTTTAGAGTTTCTACGCACTTAAATAATTGGTCCCACCTTTCTTAAAGTAATTTATAGTTTTCTCGAGTTAACCAGCTGGTTTGGATTGAGTCTTATCTCCATGGAGACTAATAACACAGAAAGGTTTATCCCTAAACATAATTAATTACACTTATCTAAGTGGCGGCCTCAATACTGAAGCTTGTTTTATGCTAAGCCCTTTATATTTATAAGGCCTAAAAAAACTGAAGGAAATAAAGGTGCATTTGTGTTGACCTTAACTGTACTTTGAAACCTCCTGGCTCCTGTTTTCATAATCAATGCGTGCAACATCATCGTCACTTTAGAAAACAACTGCTTATATGACGCCCAAACAATTCCATTGCAGGCTAGTATCTGTTCCCTGAGACTGTGTAAATGAATATCCTCTAGAATCTCACAGTTTTACTGCTTAACAGCCGCTCTGACTCAAATAATAAAACTGTCCTCTGGTACCATCTTCCTCTTGCGTGAAAAGTCCAAAAGGCACATGTGGAGTGTGGTTAATGTATAGGTGATTTGTTTGATAAGATGCACAGCATTTCAGATTTCACATGCAAATGTCTCAAAACCCTAAGAATCTCTTGGTTTTGAAGTCTTTGTCTAACTAGTGATTCACTGCTTGCTTTGTTCGCAGTTCAGCACATTGGAAACTTAAAGAGTGAAACTCTCAGACTGGTGATGACGTCCCTTCACTGCCCTCTCCGCTTGATGGTGAAAATCAGCACCCGATGGAGCAAAGTCTAGGGGCCATAAAGAGATGAAAACTAGGGGCACTTCCTTGTTGCGGTCACACAAGCGGATGGAAAAGTTATTATTAGACGCGTATGATTTTTAATTCCTTCTTGGAACTAGTCAGCAAGGGCGTGTTGTCCCCAGTTACGAAAAAAGATTGCCTTTCGTACAAGTCGTCGTTTTTAGCCGTATACGCTTCGATGAGGGTTACATCTCCAACCGGTTAATATATATTTTTTCAGGTTTTAATTTTAATTAGATGTCTTTGGTACAAAGAGGATTGTTCAAATGGTGATGTTAAAAAAGGTAATTCATTTTATAAATCTTAAATGAATTCATTTGTTTTATTTTATTTTATTTTACAGAAGTAATACATTTGCTTTTCTTGTGAACAATTTATTGAATGACATTTTCAAGGCTTTAGGTTGGTTGTGGGTAGTGTTTGGTTTTAAAATGTGAATCTGAATCTAGGGGGACTACTTCTGGATTGACTCCAGTATTGGGGTCCCTATTGGAGGATGTGTAAAGATCTCAGACAGTGGACAGTATTTCCTGATCGATGATGAAGGGAAGGTAAAAATGATGACGGAAGGAGAGACCGGGCTAGTTGTTACAGAGGCTTTTATCAGTGTGGATCAAATGCTGGTTTCAAATACTCAGTTCAAGACCCTCTTAAATTGAGTAATTGGGTATTTATTTGTGAAATCTGTCCTCCAAACTAAAATTCCACTGTAATCATTTTTTTTTTTTTACTGATCTTTGTGGTCAAGACAAGGGTATTTCTCATAAATGCCTTGTGGATCAAATTGTCACTTATGTTTTAAATATTAAAGCCTAGATTTTTTGAATTAGTCAGTGAAGATTATTAAATCTCAGCTGTAAAATAATTTTTTGTACTGTTATTAGAATTGAGAGAATCTTGAGAAGTGGAGATACTTGTTGTGCTTTTGATTGCACTTGGCATATTCAGTAACTTGTAGACTTAAAACGCTTGTTATTGTATGTAGTCTGCTGGTCATTTTACTATTTTTACATTTTTTTAATTGTGAAGCAAAATGTGCTAAATAAATATGAATCATTATTTAATTTTTTTAACTGAACTAAAAACCTATTTCCATTGTGACAACAGCCTCATAATGTGCCAATATGCACCACCCTTGTGTTGTTTCAAAAGTTTTTTTCCTGGAATAATTTTATTTATTTATTCATTTTTTGGTCAAGACTGAAAAATAAATGTCTATACAGAAAATGTATTTATTAAATATATCCTGAAAATATACACTGGAGTAAAAATGTGACAACTTGCCCCACTCTCCCCTGTATGCTAATGAGATATTACATCACAACGCATTCTTTTTTGTTGTAATTAATCTACACTTGTCTAATCAGATGAATCTCATGTTTTGTGATGGTTTTCTCAGGAGCGCCTTATCCCGGAGGGGGAGAGGGCCAGTCTTAAGCCTATGCACCCCACCTCAGTGGAGGGTGTGGATAACATGGTCAAACTGGGGGACCTCAGTGAAGCTGGTTTACTCAGAAATCTGCTGGTGCGCCACAGACAGGGTTTTATATATGTGAGTGGATTCATGTTACTTTATGGCATAACAAAAATGAACTGATTAGCCTCTGTAATCATCAAATGAAATATAGTGTATTTCCAAATTAGTATTTGATCTGAATTTTAACTAAATAAAATGCTGTGGTGAAAACCTTCTAATTGGTTAAGAGTAAGTTCCCCTACTTTATGCTTTGAAAATCTGTACTAGAGCTATTGGGACATTTTGTGTAATTTTACAGTAAAATACTGTTCAATCTACAGTTTTTAGAAGTGAAAATGAAAAATCATACAGTGAAAAATGTAAGTTGACATTCCCAGAAGTCCCTGTGTGACAGCTCACATTTGATAGTTTATGATTGAAATAGCTGTTTCCTCTTAGATTTTTCGTAAGTACATAAGGATCTACACATCTTATGTTTTTAAAGTAATGTTTATTGCATCTGCGTATTACCATGATGGTATTTTGTATGTATGCGTATGATACTGTGTGCACCTTTTATAAATATATATATATATATTAGTATTTACCTCAGCTTGTGGAAAAACTTCCTTGTGATGAATTTTTTTTTTTACCTCTTATGTTTTAAGGTGGTTGTTAGTATCTTATATAAATGGCAATTTTAGCAATTTTGGTATATTAACATTATTTCAGTTGATTAAATATACATTTTTACTGTAAATTTAAGTTCAATCTGTAAGGCGTCAGATGTAGCTTTCTTATTTTTTTTACATTAAACGTCTGGTAACCACAGCTACCAGTTTTTACTGTACATTTTTGTACAGTTCATTACAAGTTCAATTATGGTCATAACAATTTGAGTAAAAAAGAATGTCATAGTGTCGTAGTATTTTCGTTTGTCTGTCTTTTGCTGTAATTACAGCAGCACTTGAGCAGAACAAGTCACGTGATCAATGTCACAATTTGTTTTTGAATTTTGATTAGTGTCATAGAAATAGATTAGAATCTGAAATGCGTATTACTAATTTTTACATCATGAGGTTTCATTGTTGTAAATCTTAAAACTTTTTGTTGATTTTTAAAATTAAATTAGAAACCTAGGTTTTCAGATGTGGTCTCAGATGTTCAGATCCCGAGGTCTATATAAGCTGTGTGATATATTTCGTTTTTTTCTGTTGTGTGCCGTTTAGACTTATATTGGCTCTGTGCTAGTGGCAATGAATCCCTATCAGATGCTGCCCATCTACACAGCGGATCAGGTGCACCAGTATCACGGGCGTAAGCTGGGCGAGCTCCCACCACACATCTTTGCCCTCGCTGACAGTTGTTACTTCAACTTGTGCCGCAATAAGCGCAACCAGTGCTGCATTATCAGGTACATATTTGTTCTTTTCTTTTGAACATTGAGAATTGAATCTAATGTTTGTATTATGACAGTAGTAATTTTATATGGTTAGTATCTAAGAATGTAGAAGTTTAAAAAGTTGAATATGCTGCTTTTGTAAGGGAATGTTGTTACATTTAGTCACACATCATAACATGTGTGAGTGTTGTGGTCAATGTACAAAATAGAGTTCTGCTTGGGCTAATGCAGTAGAAACAGTGAATGTAAATATTATATTATATTCGCTAATGCAAAAAACAGTCAATGTAAACAGCCATCAAACCCAATAATGTAGAATGGCTTTAAGTATTCTATTCTATTTTATTCTATTCTATGCACTAATGCCAGAAACAGTGAATGTAAACAGCTATCAAACCCGATGGTGTAGAATGGCTTTGTTAATTTTTCTATTCTATTCTATTCTATTCTATTCTATTCTATTCTATTCTATTCTATTCACTAATATCAGAAACAGTTAATGTAAACCGCTTTCAAACCCAATGGTGTAGAATGGCTTTGTTAATTATTCTATTCTATTCTATTTTATTTTATTCTATTCTATGCACTAATGCCAGAAACAGTGAATGTAAACAGCTATCAAACCCGATGGTGTAGAATGGCTTTGTTAATTTTTCTATTCTATTCTATTCTATTCTATTCTATTCTATTCTATTCTATTCTATTCTATTCACTAATATCAGAAACAGTTAATGTAAACCGCTTTCAAACCCAATGGTGTAGAATGGCTTTGTTAATTATTCTATTCTATTCCATTCCATTTTATTCTATTCTATGCACTAATGCCAGAAACAGTGAATGTAAACAGCTATCAAACCCGATGGTGTAGAATGGCTTTGTTAATTTTTCTATTCTATTCTATTCTATTCTATTCTATTCTATTCACTAATATCAGAAACAGTTAATGTAAACCGCTTTCAAACCCAATGGTGTAGAATGGCTTTGTTAATTATTCTATTCTATTCTATTCTATTTCATTCGATGCACTAATGCCAGAAACAGTGAATGTAAACAGCCATCCAACTCAATGGTGTATAATGGCTTTGTTATTCTATTCAATTCTATTCTATTCTATTCTATGCACTAATGGCAGAAACAGTTAATGTAAACCGCTTTCAAACTCAATGGTGTAGAATGGCTTTGTTATATTATATTATATTATATTATATTATATTATATTATATTATATTATATTATATTATATTATATTATATTCGCTAGTGCCAGAAACAGTGAATGTAAGCTATCAAATTCAGTGGTATAGAAAGGCTTTGTTAATTATTCTATTATATTATATTCTGTTCTATTCTGTTCTGTTCCATTGTTTTTGCAATGTGTTTGTTTATTATTAGCTTTAATGGTTTTTCTTACAATCATATAAAAATCTATAATAAATATATATAGCAATGTGAAAGTAGCAGAGTTTGATCACACTGCAGCTCTGTCTCAATGGATTTGAACACATTTATATTGATTCATTTAGCAGATACTGTTGTCAATAGGGCCTTAAAAATCCTAGCAAACAATGAATGAATAAGAACCGCTTCTTGTTTGTGTGTGTCAGTGGAGAATCTGGTGCAGGAAAGACAGAAAGCACTAAACTGATTCTTCAGTTCCTGGCTGCTGTGAGCGGGCAGCACTCCTGGATAGAGCAGCAGATCATACAGGCCAACCCTGTCCTGGAGGGTAAGCACCGAACATGCTTGTTTTTATTTCAATCCTTTCCGTAGAATGCCGTCTCACTTTTTCATATCTTACAGCCTTTGGGAATGCCAAAACCATTCGCAATGATAACTCCAGCAGATTTGGGAAATATGTGGAGATCTTCTTTAATAAACAGGGTGTTATAGAGGGAGCTCACATGGAGCAGTACCTGTTGGAGAAGTCTCGTGTCTGTCATCAGGTGAGACCAAGTTGCACCCTACGCGAGGAAAGAAAAAGCAAAACAATTGCTTTTGAAAATTATGTTTAATATTTAATAAATACTGTAGTCTTGCATTTTAATGATTAAAACCTAGAAATTAAATGTATTCAATCAATTCTTTTAAGGCACCACAGGAAAGGAACTACCACATTTTCTATTGTATGTTATCTGGGATGCAAAGTGAGCAGAAGAAGACTCTCTCGCTTGGTAATGCATCACAGTTCAAGTACCTGACTGAGGTGAGCACTTCAATTCATGTTTAGTAGAGAGGATAACTGTAACACTTTGCTCGTGTACTCAGTAAATATTTAACCCTACGTTTTGGATTTTTGCAGTGAATATAAATGTATAATTTAATTGAGTCAGATACAATTAAATAATAACTATCATATCATTCATTAATGGTGTTACATCCATTGAGTGTTACATTCTCTCCTGCTATCTGTGGCATAAAGTACAATATCTGACTCCTCTGATGGTTGTTTAGGGTGATTGTTTGACATGTGATGGTCGTGACGATGCTGATGAGTTCGGACGGATTCGTGCTGCTCTAAAGATCCTCACTTTCTCAGACAGGGACTGCTGGGAAATCTTCAAATTACTCGCTGCCATTCTCCATATGGGCAATATCAACTTTAATAGTTAGCGTCTATAACCTTTCTGTTACAGTAATAATATGCAAACTATCTTTACATTAACAAAAGTTATTGTAGCTTATTATACCATAAATTGAAGTTTACTGATTTGCTCATAATCTTTTTTCAGGCACTATAATGAATAACATGGACAGCTGTAACGTTCTGTCATCGAATAATTTTTCGGTTACTGCCAAGTTGTTGGAGGTACAAATGCTTCTTAAGAGCTAATGCTGATTTAGCAAATCATTTTCAAGCTTTACTATCTTTTATGCAATCAAACATTTGGCTGCTGAATGTTTTTGATGACAGCCCTTCTGTCAATTTGCAGGTAGAAGATGAAATTCTTGAAAAGAGTCTCACATATCGCTCCTTCATGACAAATAGAGAGATAGTCACTAAAGCCCTCAGCTCAGAGCAGGCCATAGACACCAGAGATGCTTTTGCCAAGGTACACACATGCTTTTATCCAAAAGCCCATTCGGGGGATTTAACATAGATTCTGGATTAGGTACAATATACTGTTCAAACGTGTTTTTTTGTGTAAAAAAAAAAAAAACAAAGTCTGTTTTGCTCACCAAGGCTGTATTTATTTGATTAATCATACAGTAAAACAGTAATATTGTGAAATATTATTACAATTTAATTATTTGGTGCTCAAGAAATATTTCTTATTATTATCTATGCTAAATATAGTATTTTAGTAACGTTTTTGTGTAAATCACTGTGATCAGATTTTTTCAGGATTATTTGATGAATAGAAAGCTCAAAAGGGCAGAAATTTGACAATTGAATTGAATGTGTCTCTGCAGAAGAAAATTAATACTTTGTAAAAATAAAAAAATAAAAAATACATTTATGAACTAAAAGACATTCAGGCTTCCTTAATGCTCATTGTTGTTGCACATGTCAGTTAATGTTTGTCATATACTCCCTGACAGGCACTGTACGGACGGCTGTTTGTTTGGATGTTCACAAAAATAAACAGCGCCATTCACAAACCACAGACTGATGAGTCCTCTTACACGCGCAAGTACATTGGCCTGCTTGACATTTTTGGCTTTGAGAATTTTCCTCAGAACAGGTAAGTGTCTGTTGACTAAACTAGTTATTAGTTTAAACTACAAAATATACTGATAAATTAACATGGTTGCTCAGCAGGGGTTTAAAGTACTTCAGTAATTGTATTTTATTGGATGGATGGTTGGTTAGATGGATGGATGGAGTTTTTACATTTAATCATTAGATTTACATTAGTTTTTACCTATAGTTGTAAAATTTAGACACACTACCCATACTTTAAATATACTTTCTCTGTGCTTTTGCCCGCTGTTTAGTTTTGAGCAGCTGTGCATTAATTATGCCAACGAGCACCTGCAGCAGTTCTTTGTGAGTCACATCTTTAAGCTGGAGCAGGATGAATATAGTAAAGAAGGCATCTCATGGAAGCGCATTACTTTCAGTGACAACCAGAAAACCCTGGACCTGCTGGCCATTAAACCTCTCAACATACTGGCTCTGGTCGATGAGGAGAGCCACTTCCCTAAGGTCAGCTTCATAAGCTACATGGTCTGGTTTATATGCTTATAGATATTTTGCCTGTGCTCACTCCATGTTGTCCTGTTTTCAATGCAGGGAACAGATGCCACAATGTTAAACAAAATGAACCAAGAACACAATGGGAACAAACTGTATATCTCATCCAAGAGCAAACATGGCATGCATTTTGGGGTTCAGCACTTTGCTGGGCTGGTTTATTATGACTGTGAAGGTACAATTTATTACTTGAAAACATTTCCCAGTAGTTACTTTAAAAGCAAATTGTTTCTGGTCTGAAAGATCTGTATTTTGTCAGGTTTTTTGGAGAAGAACAGAGATGCCCTGAGCACGGACATCATGGAGCTGGTTCGGAAATCTTCCAACAAGTTGCTCAAGCAGATCTTTGAGAAGGAGATGAATACAAACTCAGTCAAAAACACTAACAAACTGAACAAAATCATCATGACGCCGAAGAACTCATTACGTGTATGGGACAGTTATGCAGCAGATTGACAGTGTTGACTTGATATTGACAACAGCTTTTTAATAAATCATATCTTTTGTGTCACACAGCAAGTAAATGATTCGAGGCGGCAGATATCTACTCTGAGTGGCCAGTTCCGCCAGTCTCTGGACTCTCTGATGAAGGCCCTGTCTCTCTGTCAGCCCTTCTTCATACGTTGCTTCAAACCAAATGACAAAAAGAGGCCCATGGTATCAATTCACATCCCATAAGTTACATGTTTTGTATTGTGTAGTCATCAGAACCCTTTTCAAATCATGTTTTTCTTTTGTTTTCCTTGTCAGTTTTTTGACAGAGAGCTCTGCATGCAGCAACTTCGCTACTCTGGAATGCTGGAGACCATTCGAATACGCAAGTTGGGATATCCCATCCGGCACACCTTTAAAGACTTCCTGCAGCGCTATCGTGTGCTCCTGAAGTCTGTAGATTGTGACCCCAACACTGTACGAGACAATATGATTATCTACAGATGTGATGCTCTAAATATGTGAATTATTTAATATAAAGTGATAGTCGAAAGTAGATGAAATTTGTGTCTAAGTAGGCATGTGTTAACATCCATAGCTGAAACTTAATTCATATTCTGATTTAAATATAGTATTAGGGTTATGGCTGAAATTGGTTGCTAGGAATAATGTATTTATGATGTTGATGCAAAGTGTGTCATTTCTGCACCACTAGAGTGCAAGTATAAGCAAAACGTAAATATAAATAACCGGTTTCAAACTGGTTTCCCTAAACACTCCCCCATCTGTCATTGGTCAGAAATTCAGGTAATCCTACCCCTGTCTTCACACCATTAGTTGAGCCAATGCTAATGTTGGGCCTGCTGGTGGAGATGCTCAAAACTGAGCAATGCTTACACTTTATGGGAATCAATCTAGGAATGGTTTACTTATAATTATCTACACATATTAAACTGACAGGAGAAACTAAAATAATAACACGCTTCAGTTTTAATGTTCCAGGTTGGCATAATTTGATACATAAAATCTGTGTGATACATTTGATCTGTTATTTGTTTACCAGGAGCCTTCTTCCGACTGCTGTGCAGCCATCTGTAGGGCTATGATCAAAGACGAAGAGGACTGGAAGATTGGCAAAAACAAAATCTTTCTCAGGGTACCTCAGGCATAATATTTCTCTAGTGTATTATAAGAATTTTACATCAATATATGTATACATCCTTGTAATATTAAATCAGCTTTCTAAAGGCATTGTTGCCATTTTTTGTATTATATTAAACATAAACCACTGTTCAAAAGTTTGGGATAAAATTAAATCTTTATTTAGAAAGGATACATTCAAATAATCAAAAGTGAAAGTAAAGACATTTATAATGTTAAAAAAAAAACGTTTATTTCAAGTAAATGCTGTTCTTTCTATTCATCAAAGAAATGTATCATGGGTTTCCACAAAAATATTAACCAGCGCAAATGTTTTCAACCTTGATAATAGTAATAATGCATAAAATCACCATATTAAAATGATTTCTGAAGGATCATATCACAGATTAAGAGCATAACATAAAAAAAAACAGATTGACCCCAAACACTTGAACGGCAGTGTATCTATAAATGTTCACATAAGACTAGTCTTGCATCATGTGTTTCTTTTCTTCCTGCTGCAGGATCATCATGATTCCTTCCTAGAGGTGGAGAGAGAGCAAGAGCTTAATAGGAAGGCACTTATCATCCAAAGAGTGATGCTTGCCCACAAGGATAGGTCCGTCCCCCACTGTCGTAATGTTTCTTATGCAGTTTTACAGCTTTATTCAACTAAATCATTCTTCATCCACATACAGAGGAGCTTTTGTAAAGAAGAGGAAGGCAGCTCTGGTTTTGCAGAAAAACTGGCGTGGCCACAGAGACAGAAGAGGCTTTTGCAAAGTAAGCTGTGCAGGAAAATCACATGTCTGTATGGAATACAGTTAAAATGAGTGTAGTGACATAATGAAACATGGCTCACATTGTGTCTGTTTTGCCTGTTAGCTCAAGCAGGGATTTGCTCGGCTGCAGGCCAAAGTGCGCAGTCGGCAGCTCCATACGGAGTATATGCGCAGACGGACTGCAGCCATGACTCTACAAACACAGACCCGTGGCTACCTCGCCAGGAAGGACCTGAAATGTAAAAAAAACGCAGTGATACTGCTGCAGGCTCAGACCAGAGGACTGCTGGCCAGGAAAACCCTCAAGAGAATGAAATCAGATGTGAGTTTATAGTGGAATGGACCTTCTTTGTAGTACGTTTGTAGTGTTTTGTTTTGTTTTATATACACTACCGGTCAAAAGTTTAAAATAATTAAGATTTAATTAAAACAGTATTGATGAAATATGATTACAATTTAAAAGAACTGTTTTCTATTTGAATATATTTTAAAATGTAATTTATTTCTGTAATGGCAAAGCTGATTTTTTTTATCAGCGATTATTCCAGAAGTGTCACGTGATCCTTCATGAATTTTATCAAAAGATTGAATTGAGCAAAAGTGACAGTAAAGACATTTATAATGTTACATAAAATGTATATTTCAAATAAATGCTGTTCTTTTGAACTTTCTATTCATCAAGGAATCCTGAACAAATGTACTGTATCACTGGTTCCACAAACATATTAAGCAGCGAAAATTGTTTTCAACATTGATAATAATAAGAACCTTAATTAATAATTGAGCACCCAAATTAGCGTGTTAGATTGATTTCTGAAGGATCGTGTGACACTGAAGACTGGAGTAATGATTGCCATCACAGGAATAAATGTATTCATATAGACATATCAACAGTTATTTTAAATTGTACTAATATTTCACAATATTTCTGTTTTACTGTGTTCATTTTACGGTGTTTCATCAAATAAATGCAGCCTTGGTGAGCATGAGAGACTTCTTTCAAAAACATTAAACATTGTATTTATTCCAAACTTTTGACCAGTAGTGTACTTCATTTTTTTATGCTTTTATTCATACCCTTGTCCTGTGTCAGGCGTTTTTGACTGCGCAAGAAAAAGAGGCCCAGGAACTGGCAGCACTGGAGCTTCAGCAACGCCTAGAGGAGCTGCTCAGAAATAACGAGGAAGCTGCCAAATCCCAGAATAAGGATGATGAGGAAATGGTGGAGAATCTCTTTGGCTTCATGAGTACATTAGGAGGACAAGAGGGCCAAGCTCCTGAGGGTTTTGAGGTTAGAGTCATCTTGACAGCAGAAGAAGGACACCTATTTGACAGGAACAAACACTTCCTGATCAAAATACAAAAAACCTGTCACCTTTTATTGTCAATACACAATCAATTAATGCATACTACACGTGCTATCAGTGATACTACTGTATACTGTACAATGTGAGATTTAGGAATTCAAAATCAATCTATTTCTAGGTTAATACTAACTTTGTCTATATGTTCCTAATGTTCTAGGATTTTGAGGCAGAGCCGGTGAAGTTAGAAGAGGTTGAACTAGTAGAGAGCCCTGTAATGGCGAGAAAGGCTAGGTCATTACCAGACAGCAGTGAAGACGAAATAGAGGATAAAGAGGAGAAGAAGAAGGAGGAGGAGGAGGAGGAGGAGAAGAATGAAGCTGAGGATGATGAGTTCGCTTTCTCTAAATTTACATCTTTACACTTCCAAGGATCTTCTACCCACTCGCATATCCAACAGAGACTGCGGAAACCCCTGCTCTACCATGAGGATGAAGGGGATACCCTGGCAAGTGTTGTTCTCATTAGCATCATGTCCACATTCAAAGCGAGGCTTGATAGTCAACTGTGTCTTGTATTGGCTAGTCTTATTTCTTCTCTCCGCTTTTTTTCCTATCTCCTCCAGGCCAGTTTGACAGTATGGTGGATCATACTAAGATTTATGGGAGATCTTCCAGAGCCGAAGCAAGAACGTGTTTCTACAATTGCCGACCCCATTCAGAGGAACCTCGGTCAGAGACAAGCACGGCGACTCAGTAACCTTGTTGGATTAGATCAGGTAAACAACCGAGACACCATAATAAACCTTCCTTCTTTATATGTACACCTATCAGATGTACAGCCTATATCTCGACTGCCTAACCTGCTGGAAAGACCAGCCTGTCTATATTATAACATATAATGTTATATGCTGGTTAGTGATGGTTTGGTATTAGTATATATTATATTGCAATAAATATTTTAATGTAAACGCATATTTAAAATATAGACTAGCCAATCATATAATGTTTCAGATGTGTTACACAGCCAGTGGCATAGAAGGTGACAACCAAGGGACCATAAATACAGGGAACAAAATACTGTTACAGATGTCATACAATAAAACTTAATTACCCAACATACTGTATGTAACTAGTGATTTTCTTATAGCATCATATTAAACAAAATGTGTGGGTTTATTATTTTTTTTGTTGGTCTTGTAATTGCAGAAATTTTTGAGGAAAAAAATGAAGCAGCAGAAGGGGACAGGGAAACGAAAGCCCTCAGCCATTCCTGAAGAAGAGGTGAAGTGTGGTTATATACACTTCTGAGTACAACACTGAACATTATCCGCAGCTAAAACATAATAACTGCATCACAGCAGGTTCTTACTAACCATTCTGATGTAATTTGCAGCCAGAAGAAGTACCACAACCTAAAATGGAGGCAGTTCAGGAGGAAGAGGATGTACTGTTTGGAGAGGGACCAACTTTTGATCGCCCAATGACATCCTTGGAAAAATTACACATTATTGTGGGATATGCCATTGTACGACAAGATATAAGGTTAATGTGATGGGGCCAAAGGTCATTTAGATTCTTCATAATGTGTGATATACTGCATTCCTCATACAGAGAGATAATGGTTACATAATCTTTATGACTTTCTATATTTTTTTCAGAGATGAAATCTACTGTCAGATCTGTAAGCAGTTAACAGACAATAAGAACCAGAAAAGTGTAAAAAGAGGCTGGATCCTTCTGTCCATCTGTCTGGGCATTTTTTCTCCTACAGACCGCCTCACTAAGGTATGAAATACTATTTTGATAAAAATAAACCTGACAAGGTGATCAGGACACTGATATGAAGCAGAGGAGTAATGTTTTGTCCTGAAGGGGTCTATTTTGCAACAATTTCTGCTGAACATTTTACTGCATTATATCATAGCACAACTATGTAGAAATAGGTTCTCTGGGACCATGGTCAATTACACAGTTTAATCATATTACAAATGCCACGACTAACCAATCAAGCCGTGTGATATATGGTATGTTATGTTGTGGTGTTATGTCGTGTTATGCTGATATATGTTGTTATTATATTGTTTAGTCATGTTAAATTGTCATATTATGTTGTGTTAGATGTTATCATTTGTTGTCGTTTTTTGTTATATTTTGTTATATGTCATGCTGTGTTTGTTGATAAGTTTTATGTTTTGTTGTGTTATGTGTTGATTTGTGTTGTTACTGAATGTTGTCATTTTATGTTATATGTTATCCATTATGTTGTTATATTTGTTATGGTGTCATGCTGTTTTGTGTTGTTGTTACGTTTTATGTTATGTTATGTTGTTGTTATGTTATGATATGCGTTTTCTATTCTTTTTTGTGCTATTTAATGTTATGCTGTTATTTTATTTGATGTTATATTATGTAATGTTATATGTTATGTCCCACAACCTTTTGACCATAGTACCTGGAGAGCTTTATACGCCATGGGCCAAGTGAATACTCCTCCTTCTGTGCGGAGCGACTGCAAAGGACTTTAGCCAATGGAGAAAGAAGTGAGCCGCCATGCTGGGTTGAACTACAGGTAGGCAATCCCTCTGTCTGAAATGATGAAGAATACTCCCCTTACCTTAAACATGACCAACCCTTCTTTCCTGTAACTGCTAGTCTGTGGAGACCAAGAACCCCATTGTAGTGGTTGTGGGTCTGATGGATGGCAGAAGCATCAGCCTCCATGTGGACTCAGCCACCACTTCTAAAGAGGTGTGCAATTCAGTTATCCAGAAAATAAACCTGCAGGACAGTTATGGCTTCTCCATATATGCTGCAATGAATGAGAAGGTTTGTAACATCTGAATGGCTTCAAGATGAATCTTCACTCGTAATAGTAACATGTAACTAATAAGCAATAGAAACAAAGTCTTCACATATGCATTTCTTGCTGCAGATGTGGTCTCTAGGCAGTGGCAGTCAGCACATCTTGGATGCCGTGTCTATGTGTGAGCAGGAAGAAAAGAGGCAGGGGAGAGAGGAACAGCACGCTCCTTGGCGCCTCTATTTCCGCAAAGAGATCTTCACTCCGTGGCATGACTGTTCATCTGACCAAGTCAGCACAGATCACATCTATAGGCAGATCATCCATGGACTCAAACATGGAGAATATCTGTCTGATAAGGTCAGTCCAGGCTCTGTGCTTGACCTGTTCATATAGCATATATGATTTTAATATGAATGAGATTTGTGATTTATACTCTGTTGTTGAAATATAATCTTGATCTAGGAGGATGATTATGTGCAGCTCGCAGCCAAATATTACTATATACAGCACGGCTCTGAAAGCAGTTTGGAAACTGCCCAGAAGATTGTTCGTGAGTGCATGAACATGACTATAATTGAGAACAAGTCTTTGGTCAAACTAGTGCAGTTGGTCAATTCTGCGCACACAGAGGTATATGCATATCTTATTATAAATATCATTGTTCACAATAGTTTGATTTGGCTGCAACAGAATTTGATTTGGCGGCAGTGCTAATTTGCAGAATAAAACAAGCAGTAATCCAGTGTAATTTCTCAGGGCCCTTACATAAACTCTACTACACCTGTCCATGAAGTAAAAGCAGAGATCGTCCAATATGCACAGCAGAAGTGGCCAATCTATTTCTCCAAGTTATATGAGGCTAACGTGGTTTCAGGTAAAAAAAAAAGAAAAGAAAAAAAGAGTTGTTCATAGTTATCATAGGAGTAGCTAATCCAAAAATTCACATTTTGTTGTCTTTACTTATCTTCATGTCATTACAAACCTGTATGACTTCATTTCTTCTGTGGAACACAAAAGGAGAGCTTTTGAAGAAAGTTCATGCTGCTCTTTTCTATTCTATGAAAGTGGATGAGACCATGGACTGTAAAAATAAAAAAGGCAAAATAAAAGTCTTCTGAAGCCATATTAGAGATTTGTAAAAGGAACCGACTGAAATTTAAGAAGAACAGCTTGAATCAGCTAGAATTAATTTTGCTTCCCACAGAAGTCAGACAGGTTTCTAGAGATATGAGGGCGAGTAAAAGTTGATAGAATTTTTATTGTTGGGTGAACTATCCCTTAAATGCATTGAATTTGGGAATTCACTGTTGCATTTTATTCAGGTCCCCCACTGCCTCAAGACCAGTTTGTAGCTGTTGTGAACTGGAAAGGGGTCTTCTTTCAGGACGAGACAGAAGCCGCATTTCTGCAGCTCTCTTATCCCGAGGTGTCAAGAATCGAAATGCTGAGGTAAAAAGTAACTCTCTTTGGAGAAGCACCTTAATTACACCTGAGCACTATGCTCCAAATATTATTTCTGCAGATTCTCAGCCTAGTTTGTGAGATGAACCGCTTTTAGTTCTTTCCTATTTCTGTTTCCTTCATTCCTTCCCTCCTTAACCTTTCTCCTACAGCGATGAAAAGTCTGGTGGGATTGTATGTTTGACAACTCCAAAGGGGATGTATGAGCTGAAGGTTGTGAAGGGAAACGAATTTGTGGAGCTGGTCAACATGTTCATCTTAGGGCTTAAGAAGAGATCCCTGTATGCCGTGGCAATACAGGACCTTAGCAGACAAGGTGCTTCTTTTACATTGGTTACTACATTGTGACAAACAGCAATTTTCCTTGTAGTATTTTCATTTGAGGGTGATTCTTCAATTCTATGAGCACTTTTGACTATTTCAAATCCTTACAAATTATGTGTGAAGGTAATGACATATAATGCTAATAACATTTTTCCCTTTTTGGAGAAAATTTGAAAAGAGGGGAGTTCAAGACCACATGTAGAAATTCTGATAACATTGATAATAAACAATTGATAATAAACTAGTAAAGTAAAAAATTAGACACTGAAAATTGGGTTAAAGCTATTATAATTTATTTTTTAATTTAAGTATTTTTAAAAATATTTTTGTCTTTAAAACCATCCAATGTGACAAAGTTTCCACTTGTTCATTTGGGGGTGATTGGGGTCTTCTAACCATTAAAATTGTCAAAATTGCTTGGATATTTATCTTTCTGATTTTTTCTTCCTTTCAGAGGATCCCACATTCCTGAGCTTCAGAAGGGGCGATGTGCTGTATATCATAAAGGATGGAGAATATAATTTTGAAGAAGGCTGGATCAAAGCGAGGAATGAGAGGACAAGTCAAACTGGAGCAGTTTCCTTAGATTCTATTCAGATTCTACCGATGTTGACTAGGCCTACAGAAGAAACACTGGTAAACATGATTGTTTCTCATTGATTTGTCAAAGAGATGACTCCTCATCACTGGCCATCATTGTGTTAATTTTTTTACCAGTGTTTTGAGGTTTTGTCTTGGAAATAAATACCAGAATAAAGCTAAAGAAAAATGATGGAAAGGCCAGCAAACATTGTGCTGTTCCTCACTGTATTTGACGCCTGATGGCGAAAAGTAATGACAGTTTAAAATGTTTAAAGTCAATTTCTTTAAAGAATGAATGTACCTTTAAAGTTTTTAAAATGCCTTTAAAGATTTTAAACTGGCAGTTTAAAATCTTGAAAGGCAGTTTCTTTAATTTTAACAGTTTAATTCCAAGAGTTAAAGAGAGAGTATAAAATTGATAAATAAAAATAAAATAAAGCAGTTTTGGTCCAGCCTCCAACCATTAAAAATATTTAGAAATTATTTACAAAACCATCAGTGAGGTTCTTTTCTTAGAGTGAAAAAATATGCTATTTTGTAAGTCAAGAACAGAAATGTAAATAGAGTCATTTCTATCCTCTAGAATTTGCTGAATTTGACCCCAGCACGGAGAAAGTCAGTGATGCCGGTGATGCCGATGTTGAAGGAGGAGCTCAGCACAGAGAGAGTCGCCCACATGTCGCTCAAGGAGTTCTCTTTCGACTATTTCAGGTGACAGTTGTACAGTTTGCAATCATCTCAACTGACATAAATGATAACTGCTCCAAAAAAGCAGCAACTTGTAAGTTACCAGTTTTGAGAACATGTCAGAGCTCCTTAAGTGATAACGTCATCACGTACCTCTTTTCAATGGCTCACAGGGAGTCAGGTAAGGAGGGTGGTCGTGGCAAGGGAGGAGCCAAAGAGAAACTGTGGGCCAACAGCAAAGAGCCTCTCAAACAGCCTCTGCTCAGGAACCTGCAGGGCAACTCAGAGCTCTGCCACCTCGCTTGTGACTCCTTCACAGATATCCTTCCCACTTACATGTTACATATCTACAATAACGGATTATGTATTTTGTAAATTATAAGTGAAAAAGACTTAAGTGCATGTGACCTCAGTAAATTTTAATGAATGATGCTCGCTGTTTTCTTTAACATGGTCTCTACCTATCCTTAAATATATGGGAGATTATCCAGTCAAGCATGTACGGACACCCATAGATCTAACAAACCAGATCTTTGGGCCAGCAACAGCGCACGTCGAGCTAAGAGATGAGATCTACTGCCAAATAATGAGGCAGATGACTAATAACAAACATGGGTTTGTCGACTGCTTTTAAGAACCCAGACATGATATGATGTGATGTCACTTTATTTGTTTTAATTGCTGTGTTGTTTTTCTCTCAGGTTGAGTATGGAGCGAGGTTGGCAGCTGTTGTGGCTGTGCTGTGGTCTCTTCCCTCCTAGTCAGTTGTTACTGAGGCATGCTCAACGTTTTCTGGAGTCCAGGCCCAGAGAGCCACTGGCCTCCACCTGCTTGCAGAGGATGCAAGCTATGCTCAGGTTAAACTTTACTACTCAAACAGATTGTTTGATTATTGTAAACATGAAGGGGCGAATGTTGAACTGTAATGCATTTTTTATTGTCCCGTACAGTATCGAGGGAAGGAAGTTGCCTCCTCACCAGGTGGAAGTGGATGCCATTCAGAATAACAGCACTCAGATCTTCCATAAAGTTCATTTTCCCAACGATACATCTGAAGTAAGGAGTAACATTTCAGTTTGAACTATCTTACACATTCTCATTTTCATCCGCCTTAAAAACTCTTTTTTTTTAATTTCAGATATTTGAGGTGACCACCACCACGAGGATCAGAGATTTAATTCGCAACATTTCCAAAGACCTCCGCCTCTCCTCATCCGATGGATACAATCTGTTTGTGAAAACAGCCAATAAGGTTTCAGATATGATTTCTTTTTTTTCTGAAGGTGATGTTTTAGGTCCATGCTAATCTTTGTATGTTGTATATGATACTTTCAGGTAGTAAGTATGGATTCTGAAGAGTACTTTTTTGACAACCTCAGGCAACTCACAGATGTCGCCAAAAAAGGAAAGAAAATCAAGGAGGGTGAGCTGTATATGCTAACATGCTAAATACTGTAATTAATCCAATATATATTCAGGTGTGTGTTATAATCACACTCTCACTATGATAAACATTGATCCTGAATTCAGCTGCTCCAACTATTGTCCCTTACCTGGTGCTCTTCATGAGGAAGCTCTGGTTTAACGTGATCCCGGGGAAAGATCTAACCGCTGACCTAATGTTCCACTTTCCTCAGGTATGTTGTCAAAACCTGTATGAGTTTCTTTCTTCTGCTGAACACAAACAAAGATATTTTAAAGAATGTTGGTAATCAAACCGTTGACGGCACCCATTGACTTCCATATTGGGAAAACAAAAAGGGTGTCGTCAACTGTCTGGTTACCAACATTCTTTAAAAAAAACATTATGCACAGAAGTGCAGGATCTTAGGACTCATTCCTGCAGCACTCTATTATGCAGTGCAACTTTGCCCAACTGTCTTCTTTTTATTTTCCCAGGAATTGCCGAAGTATTTGCGGGGTTACCATAGTGTGTCTAAGGAGGACATGATCAGTCTGGCAGGACTGCTGTTGCGTACTCAGATTGACACGGATAAGTCACAGTTTGTCATGATCCCTAAAATGCTGAAAGATCTAGTGCCAGCTGATCAGCAGAGGATCATGACTCCTGAGGACTGGAAAAAGGTGATCCTCACGCCTCTTATTTATTGAATACATTTCAAATATATGGCTCTATGCATTTTGACATAAACACACACTACCTTTCAAAAGTTTAGGATAAGTAAGATTTTATTATTAGAATGATTTCTGAAGGATCACGTGACACTGAAGACTGGAGTAATGATGCTGAAAATTCAGCTTTGCCATCACAGGAATAAATTACATTTTGAGATATTAAAATAGTTCACAGTACAAAAAACTTCACAGTACAAATGTTTCACTATTTCTGTTTTTACTCTATTTTTCAAATAAAATAAATGCAGCTTTGGTAAGAATCCTAACTGAGAGGAACCTCATAAGTGACATTGCTTCAGAATGTATAAAGTGTTAATTAATCATATATTTTAGTACCGCCTGACCCGAACATCATGATAAATGACAGAGTGGTTTTGGCCTTTGGTTTGCAGCACATGATCAGTTCATACAACAAGCAGGCAGGCATAACTGTAGATGAAGCCAAACTCCAGTTCCTGAAGACCATCTCACAGTGGCCTACCTTTGGATGTGCTTTCTTCGAAGTAAAGGTAACCAGAGCAACACTAAAAATACACCTGATTGCTAAAGAATGAGGTTGTTTTCTTGATACTGACTGTACTTTTGCTCCCAGCAAACATCTGAGAAGAGTTACCCCGGTGTCATCATGATATCAATTAGCAAACAAGGAGTTAGCCTCATCAACCCTAAGACAAAGGTATCGATCTGTCTGTATATAATACAACTATAATGTACTTAGCATTGTGTAGCATGTGATTTTGAAATGTGTTTTGGCTGGCTTGCCTGCAGGAAGTGCTTGTGATGCATCTATTCAGTAAGATCACTTCCTGGTCTAGCGGAAGCACCTATTTTCACATGACCATTGGCAATCTAGTGCAGGGCACCACTCTGCTCTGTGAGACCTCAATGGTAAATATAGCACACACACACACACACACACACACACACACACACACACACACAACTACAGCAAGTGTCACACTGCTTATATGTTAATATCCTCTCTGGCTGTTTGTTTCTTTCAGGGTTATAAAATAAGCGATCTCCTGTCCTCTTACAAGAACATGTATATGAAGGAGATAACAGTGGTGCGGCCCAGAAATCAATTGTTCTCTTGAATCAGCATTTAGTATGATCATTTTTTGGTAGCGTATTTCTATTTTTTATCTTTACCATAATAATTCTACTATAAATTTGTTTTGGTAATTTTGGTGTACTCTGTAAGTAAAATTAACATTTATAATTACTGTCGGAAATCACTTTTTAATATGTAAGTCACTATAGATCTGTCAGTGAATCAGCTGTTTAAATCATGTTTTTGCTTGTTGCGTCTTCTATGTGCATATATATGTTTTAAATAATAATTTTATAGGCTTAGATATTTATTATATTTCAATATTCCACCTTTTCATTGACTTTGCCTTGCAATGTTACACTAGGTGGCAGTATTTTTACAGTTTAATTCTAATCTATCTAATACTGCTTTGTAGGAACAACTATATTTAACAATAAAATGTAAAATTCAAATTGGTTTTGAATTTAATTGTCAGTGAATGGTGACTTTGAACAATTTGTAATTACTAATAGTAATAATTTCTACATATGTTCTCCGTGTAATGAGGAATTCCTTAGTATTTAGCAGTTTGTAGCATTTGCAGTTTGGTTACTCTTAGAAATAGCTTATAATTTACTATACAGTAACTGACTGACTCTCTTTGCACTAGACACATGGGTCATATTTGATCAGATATGAAATATTTGACTCTTGATGGTTTAAAATATGAAATATAGGGCATTTTACACTACTGTTCAAAAGTTTTGGGTTGACAAGATTTATAAATGTTTTTGAAAAATCTCTTTTGTTTATTGTTAAAATTTAAATGAACTGTTTTGTATTTAAATGTATTTTATTTATTCCTGTGATGTCAAAGCTGAATTTTCAGCATCATCACTCCAGTCTTTAGTGTCACGTGATCCTTCATTTACTGCTCAAGAAACATTTATTATTATTATTATCAATGTCTTTTGTAATGTTAGAAAAGGCTTTACTGTCACTTTTGATCATTTTAATGCATCTTTGTTGAATAAAAGCAGTAATTTCTTTTAAAAAGCTTTAAAAATTCTGCCTAACCCCAAACTTTTGAATGGATGTTTACATTTCTATTCTCATTACACAACTGATTTAAAATGCTTACAGGGTGTTATGCATGTTGGTCAGACTGCTCACAATGAATGTGTAACATTCAAATTTTGAACTGCAAGATTTAGATTAACATACTTTAGTTAATCTCACAGTACTGTTAAATTAGTTAAGACACGGAATATAACGTTAAAGTTGCTTTTTTCTTTCCAAATCCACTGAAACATGCACTGGCTTTTGGGATTTTCACAGCCTCTCTTGCCATTCTTCCACTAAACCAAAAATATCCTAGTGTGCCTCTCTCAACCCCTGGCCTCTTGACCAGCAATTCAGACTTTCCATGAAACTGAAAGAAAGGCTTGTGCTAAAACGGGAAAATCCTGCATGAATACTCCACAGCAATCATGGTAATCGAGAGCATGTTTTTTTTCGCCCTGATGCACACTTTGCCATGTGCTCACTATTAGCTTACCAAATAAAAACACAGGACCCTGGGCTAGTGAAAGAGACGTCAGAAACACAACACTTCACTGTGGGAGAGAAAAAACATTTCGTTCACGTGTCTAAAAGTGAAATGTATCAATTTCTCTATAGCCATGAGCTTCATGTTGTCTTACTGACATTAGCCTTATGTTATTATAAGCATGTTCTTGATATCACAACGTCATGGAGCAACGTAACCCAGGCTGACATCTGAAATCTGACATCTGGAGCTTTTACTGTTGAAACCTTATGTTTATGCTTCTTTGAGCAGTTATGGAGCAGTTGTATCAGTCAGCAGACCCTCCTTAAAAATATAAAGGATTTGCAGAAAAAGAAACAAGGATTTTAAAGGGATAGTTATGATTTACACACCCTCAAGTCATCCTAGGTGTATATGACATTCTTCTTTCAGACGAATACAATCAGAGTTATATTAAAAAATGTCCTGGCTCTTCCAAGCTTTATAATGGCAGTGAATGGCCGTTTCTGTCCATAAAAGTACATCTATCCATCATAAAAGTGCTCCACACGGCTCCGGAAAGTTAATAAAGGAAGCGATTTTCTGAAGCGATGAGTTTGTGTAAGAAAAATATCCATATTTAAAAATGTATAAAGTAAAATAACTAGCTTCCGGCCAAACGAACATACGGATTCCACTTAGACTAAAGCGCAACTTATGCGAGTAATGCGACATACTGCTGATATTTACACTACGCCATGACCCACTACGCTACTTCTGACGTCATAAGTTGTGTAAGTTCCGCTTGAAGGCCAATTTATACTTCTGTGTCGGGTGCGCGCAGTAGGTACGGCGTAGCATACGCACAGACGCGTACCACACGCCGTACCCTTCGCCGTAACCTGACGCGCACCTCCTCAAAAATGTACTACACGTCGCGACGACGCGGACCGCAAGATCTGTGATTGGCATAGACAGTATAAGAAATGGACAGAGCCATCTCATTGGAACTCAGTTGAGACAGTTGAAGCCCATTTTTAGCGATTTCTGAGCACTTCCGTTACTGACGCGCAGACTCAAACCGACTCAAACTAAGCTTGATGACGTGAGCAACCTGTCTGACAGACGTACTCTTCTAGTAGCTGTGCGTGAAAATTGCCAACGTTAATCTTGCAGAGACGGGGAACTTGAGCAAAGAGTTCTTTGGCGTGAGTGAGCAGGACTAAGTATTCCGTTGCTTTAATGGACTCATTATCTATGGGCTTCTCCCTTGACGGGGCGTCCCCCCGATTGACTGCGAGCTTCTCCTCGGCCGTTTCTCAATACCAAGTAAGCAAACTTCGGACTTGCGTCCTTTGTAGTTCGGACTTGCCAAGTTCGACTCAGGAGAACGAACTCCCGAGGACGAGAGGACGCGAGTCCGGTTATTCTGCAAATGGAACAGTGCGTTCTTGATCGCGTCACTCAGCACGCTCTGGCTACTCCGGTTATCTCTTTATGTATATTTTAGGCAACAATAAAACGAAATATGCTACAACTCTGCCTCTTTTCGTCAACAATAAAACGAAACATGTTATAAAACACCACCCTGCCTCTTTTCATTTAAAAATCTTAAACATAGTAGCCTAATGGCCATGTGGTTCAAGCAACGCGTACTATCTTCACATATTTATAACAACATGAACATGATCTTTTTGTTTTCATTTTAAAAATATGAAACATTATTTATTTTTATTGACATTTAACAAACAGAGACAGGGTTGTGTAATTTTATTTTATTGTACATATAGTGAAGAGAATGTTAAAATAAATAAATAAATATATATATATATATATATATATATATATATATATATATATTTTTTTTTATATATATAAAATACAATTACACAACCCTGTCTCTTTTTGTTAAATGTCAGTTTTAATGATCAATTATATCTACAATGATAAATAAGGCAAACAATTCAAACATAAGTAAGCTCTCTAATAGGCTACAAAGTTAAATAGCCTAAATATATAAAGTTATGAAACCTCACTTTGCCCTCAGCCAAAACGATTTTTTTGCCAAGGAACAAAGTTTAATGAGACCAAAGATCGACTTATACACAAGACGAATTATACGTCAAGTTTATCCACTAGACTAGAGACATCAGAGCCAGCGGCAAACGTCAGAAGCACTAGCCGAGGAAAAGCTGTTTCAGTCGGGGTTGATGAGCGTTGAACACCCGCGGTGAACGCCTGGATGTCACAACTCCGAAAACGTCAGATACATTTTTCAAATAGGCGCTATCTTTATAAATAAACCACAGATTTGAGCTTTAAACAACCACATTCTCGCCTGAAACACTCTTAAAAGTACATTTCATGACACAATAACAGTAGTATTTTCGATATTACGCGGGTTTTCTCCTCTGCTATTGACGCTTGCTGGTTGGTGCGAGATGCATTCTGGGATACCTGGCTGTCTCAAGTCCGCACAAGTCACCTCTCGATGCATCCTCGGTAAACGGGGCGGATCAAGAACACATCCGGGGATTTGAACTGGACTTGGCTAGATGTGAACTTTGAATTGGAACAGTAGGCTACTTGGGCAGTGACTGATGACGTTTCACAAGTCCACAAGAACACAAGTACAGACAAGAACGCATATTGAGAAACGGCCCTCCTGTCTGTACGGTAATTTCTGTACAGCGCGACAGAGAGTCGAGTGGTTATGACGCAATCGTTAGCCTATTTTTACTAAAACTGCTTCTACGGGGCCATAATGTAACATAGAAGGTAATGGAGCACTTTATACATTGTCGTGTTTCTTTAGAAATAAATAATGGACAAATGGAGTCTTTAAACGCCTCAGATGTAAAGTTATTCGCTGTCAAAGTGACGCCAAAATGAATGGGAGTCAATGGAAATGCTAACGCAAGTGAAGTTCTGCTACAACATGGCGGCACCCGGCCGGCTTCAACTTCCGGTCGATGGATTACCCCCTTGGTGATTGGTCGGCTTGGTAGCATCGCGTTTCCTCCTATGCATTTCCGGCGTGTTCTTCTGCACCGCCCGCCATTTTTAAATTCTAAGTAAAGCGAAACTGTTAAAAAAAACTAAAAATTTACCTTTTCCACCTCGATAAGCTCCAACTCCAACATGATCTGCTCTCTTTCAGTCGCCATTGCTTGTAGTAACCTAAACTCAAAACAGCCGCGAGGAATCTTGTGTTTATCCTGTGTTTAGATTCCTTGCCGCGAGGAATCTAAACACAGTGGAACATTAAGACCCTCCGCCGCCAACTAGCGTTTCGGCGCTGTACTGCAGAGCAACGCAGACCTAAACGCAGAAGTATAAATGCTCATGACGGCGTCGCCTACGTGCGTAGCCCACGCCGTACACTACGGCGTACACTCGACGCAGAAGTATAAATTGGCCTGGTGTAAAGCCCAATTTATACTTATGCGTCGAACTCACGCCGTAGGCTTTTGCCGCGGTCCAGGCAACCTGTAACCCGTGTTTTTCCAACCTTATACCCGTGAAAGTGCACTGGAACGGCAGTCAAACCCGTGACTTCCCACCCGTGAATTCGTACTAGATCGATGTACTCCCAGTTACGAGTTGAAAAAACACGGGTTACAGGTTGCCTGGAACGCGGCATTAGTGTAGCACGCGTACCCTGACGTTACAAACGCATCGCTTCGCTTCAGAAGGCCTTTATTAACCCCCCGGAGCCGTGTGGAGCACTTTTATGATGGATAGATGCACTTCTATGCTTCAAAACAGAAACGGTCATTCACTGCCATAAAGCTTGGAAGAGCCAGGACATTTTTTTAATATAACTCCTATTGTATTCGTCTGAAAGAAGAATGTCGTATGAGGGTGAGTAAATCATGGGCTAATTTTCATTTTTTGTGTGAACCATTTCTTTTTTTTAAAAAGGCCTATAAAGTTACCCTGGAAGAACTTTAAATTCAGTAATCGTGTTAAACATTATTGAACTAAACATATTTAACTGATATTTTACATTCATTAACTTTGACAGCCTTACAAAATACATTTTCTAAAATATTTTTTCTCGAGGGGAGAAGTTTTTCTGTGGGCACCCCTGACCCCTGCTTGAAAGCCACTGTATTAATTATCTATATCTTCCTTATGTGCATTACTTTATCGCTCAGTATAATTAAAAAGTGAGTGGACTCCATCTGTTTTGTTTTGGAACCTCACACAGGCTGGTTTTTTGGAAAGCCTTACGTTGTGTTCTGAACTGTCACATTATTCATGCCATTTAATTGATAAGGAATGCTTTAATGCATTCCTCTAAATAAATAGCAGCAAATGCAATCATGGCCAAATGCTGATACATTAAAACAGCAGAGCTGAAAAATGCACCCATGCATATGACTATCATTTGAAACGTTGTCATTCCTAACCATGAAAACACATCATGGTAGCTTTAGTCATGAACCGGGTATGTGTGGCACCTTGTGGTTTTACTGCTCTTCATCATTGCACTTGGACTACTGCAGTCACGAGGTATAGTTCAGATTGTGGTATAAACATGAAGGCAAGCCTGCTTTAATTCATTTGACTTGCGGCATGTTTCAGATCTATCATTCAGAGTCCACATTGAAGGTTATTCCATCCAGTCATCAATCAATGCTGGAAACGTGTGCGGCTGAAGTGATCAATCTACTGTCTGAGAGCACAGAACATCCAACCAGCATGTCAGAAAATGACCAGGACAACCTTTTCTTTTAGAAAACTAGTGGGTTTGTTTGCAAATTAATCTGGTTTTAAACATTGTTTGGTTCCTGACCAGACTGACCCAAAATTCATCTAACATCTAATGTTTTTTGTTTTTGACAAACAGCAATGTTCCCAACCGCTTTAATTCAGATTTGTAGGGCGGATTACTGTGGCCTCATATTTGCTGGCGTTCCGCATTTCAAGCTTCAGGAATGTGCCCTTTGAACTTGAAATGCTCCACGGCCCTCCATTTTGTTCATGTCGAGGAAAAAACCCAAGGTTAAAAAATGTCAAGTGCTTCTCAAAAGTCGAAAGAATGTTGGCAGCTTTTCTGGCTGTGAGGAGGAAAAGGCCTCCACTGCGCTTATAAACAAGATGAATGGCAGTGTATCACATGTTTCCCGGTTCCCATACAGGCTCTAACCACCATAAAAAAAATGCTAAACCTTTTCATTCCAACCAAGAGGATTTTCTCTGCATATATAAGCTCATCTGGAGCCAAGTTTGTTCTTGTGTTGGTATGAAGATCCAGTGCCACAGTGTCGTCATCATATTTGCCTGTTAAACTGTTATTTGGTGGAAGACGGTTTATAGCAAATATTGAAAGCACATATGAATAATGTCAGTGTTTATAGGCGAGGGTCATGACCTCCCCCACTGTTTCCTCTCTTTTTCTGTTATAAGTTTAAATGGCAATGCTGTTATGATTTATAAACTGCACTTAAGACGTTCTTATACTGAGACATGACAATCCATCACTGTATTTATTACTACTTTATATATATATATATTTTATAGTCTGACCTTTTAATGGTTCTAGTATGTTGGTTCTTAATGACACTGTTTTGTGTTGAATGTCTGTTTCAAGAACTGAATTTGAAAGAACGTGTTCTTAAAATGTCTTTTAGACATTTCTTAAAGAAATTTTTTTATCATTTAAGTATCATTTAACTGATCCTTCCCGCCTTACACTGACCAATCTTACATTCTGTTGTCATATTTTTATTTATTTATTTGTTTATTTCTTTTTAAATAATTTTAAATAAAATTTTAAATAAAATTTTAGAGAAATTGATTATTGAATGATTGCGAATGCCAGTATCCACCACACCGGCTCGGCGACTGACAGCCGCACATTCTCCTCAAAACATTGTGTTCATCCGCGCTGTGGCGTGCCGAGGCACAACCCACGTAAAGTTGATAATTCCGCGAATAACTGCAATTGCAGATTTCGAACAGAGATAGCGACAAAGAGGAAAAACTATGGACTGCAACTTTAAGTAGAATTAAAAACATAATCCATACCTTCCCCTTTCAAACACTTTATTTAAATGTTTAAATCGGCATTTGTAATAAAGACAATAATTAATTTATGAGCCTTCTTTTACAAGTCCATTTTCAAGAGGTTTTAACATGTTCAAAAGTCTGAGAACACAAGTGAAAATGCCTCATTTTGGCATTTTCCATTTGGTCCATTTTTGTTTCATTACAAATTATGGTCACACTTTAGTTTATGGTGTCCTTGAAACACTGTAATTATATATTAAAGTGTAATATTATTTAACAACATGTATGGTTAGGATTAGGGTTAGGATAGGAATACAAAATGATGCTGGATTGCACGTGTGAGCTGCCAAGTTTTCCCACAGTTCAGTGCTAGCATGCCTTGGCACTATCTAAATAACTGACTTACCAACAAACAACTTCCTCATGAGCAATGCAAGTCTGAGATGCCTCTCATTCATTTTTACAAAGATCAGTTAGTTAAAAACTTAACAATGCATATAATACAGAGTAGCCTTGTCCTAAATTTGGAAACAGACTGTGACATCAGCACTATGTTAAAAAGCATGTGACTACACTTGGAAATATTGAGTTGACTCTGTCAGTGTCAGTAGTATTCCCAGAATAGGAGACTGGATGGGTTAGTCAGGTGTTGGGTAAGTCAGCTTTGAGCGAGTTATCTATTGTTCTATCTCAAAAGCAGAATGTTTGTCGGAATGACTCAGAAGTCTGAGTCTAAAATGCGGATAAAGGTGAGCCTGAAGGAAATAGTGCGATGTTTTCTATGGTGAAATTTGAGCGCTGGAATGCCCCTCTGGCATTCATTTATAATAACTCATCTTTCTCGGACTGTATGTGAAAACCCGGAATAACATGATGGAGAATGTGCGAAATGGGATCAAATCCAGTAGGTGGTACTTGCTAGAACCAACAAATATTTCACAAGGGCTTCACAAACCCTTTCACAAAATCACAAAATGTTTTTATATATTAATAGCTTTATTGTAAATGTATGAAATGTTTCAGAACATTCACATCTTTCATGGATTAAATAGAAGAGGTCAACCCTTAGTCATGTGTTTACACAACTTTACTGAAATGCTCTTTGGCACCAGTTCCTCAGCATTACATTCCAACCCAACACAAAATAATTGTACAAAATATATATTAATATTTACTTTGAAACGACACCTTGACCAGCAAATGTGCCATTTAAGAGCGAACACATTCAAAAATAAAGTACAGGAACGCAAATTGTAATATAATACAACTGGTTTTCTCTCTGACAGAGTTCTCTTAGACTCTTCGGTCTAAATAAAGTTTTTGTCTCGCACAACGTGACAGCATGCAATGTAAAAGAATAACTTCGATGAAGGGTGTAGCAGCCATAAATAGAAAAACATGAGAAAAATGTAACCATTTATAACAATCAATAAAGGTGGGGTGGAAAAGATACATGCGAGAGCCTCAGTCTCAAGAAGAAAGTCAATTGAACTGGAATGTGGTGAAGTTACCACAGGTCTTCTGAGAGGAGGGACAATGCAATAGTAATGACAATTTAGGTGTTTGTGCCCGTCTTCCTGTACGGGACGGCTGTAAATACCAAAATTTCTGGATTCTCACCAGAAGCAAAAGTGTCAGTAATGCAGTTTACTATCAAAACATACCAGACTGGAGATGTACTTTAAAGACAAGAGCTCAGCTCCCTCTTTCAAATGAGATTTTGAGCAGCTCTGTTATTATGCTGGACTCTTTCTTCCCAACAGTATAGGGATGTGATGTCATTTAATATCTTCCAGAGTTCCTCATCACACAGGTATGATGTATTTATATTTCAGGGCAGTTTGTCCTGCATGCCTTGTCCAAGTGTTCTTCATCAAATGAAGATCTCCACTGCATCAGCCGCCACATCATCCAGGCCCTTAAAAAGGTCCACAGAAGATGGCGCTTTCTGGATGCTATCTGTGAAAAACAGTAACAAAAATTAACCAGTTATCACACAATGTTACTTAATTTGAATTCTTACTTTAAACTTTGTCTCTCAAGTAGCTTATTTTTTACTCTGAGATGAATAATGGTTGGCTTTTTTATGGTCATTTTTTAAGTTACTTTTTCATTTTCCATATTATGGAGAAACAACTAAAAGTTGACTCACTGGGGTTGGGCTCTGTGCAGGAGGCTTGATCTGTTGTCTGTTTCTCTGACAGGACTGGCTCAGGATGTCTCCGGGTTGCTACAAGAGCAAGAGTGGAATATGACGTACCAGCCGCCTGGTCACTGGATTGACTCTTCCCTGGAAAAAAGATTCATAAGAGTTTTTAAGATCTAATTCTACTCAGTTCATTTTGTCAGACACTTACTTAACTAGTAATTGCTAACTAGCAGTGAACACTATGCTTAAGTTATTTAGATCATCAGGGCTGTAGCTGGGGTATTTGAGGCCGGGGGCCCTAGAATCGTCACCACCTTTTGCCCCGCTAGCGACAGTCCTGCATACAATAACTTAGCTAGTAAAAGCTTGACTAGTAACTACTAAAAGCAAATGACTAGTAAAAGTTTACCTAGTAAATGCTAATTAGCAGTGAACACTAATGTCAGTCAGACAAGAACCTAGCAAGTAAAAGCTAGTAACTTACCTAGCAAAAGCTAGGAATACTAATGCTAATATTAATCAGACACTAACGTAACTAGTATAAGCTTAACTTGTAACGTTAATTAGCAGTGCACCATAATGTTAATTTTAGCATTCAGACACTAACCTTTGCCCTGGGCCATGTGTGTGACCGTTGAATGAGAGATGGTGATGGAGGGTTCAGTAGTAGCTGGGCGGAAGTCACCTGACTCTCCCTTCTGCTCCTGCTGCAGCTTCTGCTTCAGGATGCTAATCACTGTGTCCTTCTCCAGGATTTGGGTGTACAGGGCACGGATCCTGACAAAATATGAAACTTATGAGTCCTAAACAATCTTTCAATCCAAAATGGTTCATTAAACACAACTGAAATTTAATGTTAGATGCACTGAGGGTGATTCTCTTACCTGATTTCTACTTCCTGGTTTCTGTGCTCAGAAGATGGGAGCTCCTCAATGAAGGAATGACAGGGAGAATGGTTGATGATGGTTGTGTCTCTATGAAGTACAGGAAGAAAACAATAAGAAATTGCTTCAAAACTCAATATTTTCTGAAGAATTTGACACCGAACTCCTCTTTTACCTCTGAGCTGCAGCGGTGGCGGCGGCATCCATCGCAAACTCCCTCATGGTCTTCTCCTCCAGGTATTTCTGCTCCCAGCGCATCTTGTCAGCCTCCAGGGACAAAATGTGCTCTTCTTTTTCCCGCAAAAGCCCCTGCATTGTGGACACACTCATATCGGATGCTCCTCTGACTGGCTGAGGCTGACGCTGTGGAAAAAGAAAAACAAAGTTTAAGATTATTGTGATATGCCGAGTTGAAGTCTCAATCTATTATTAGCTTCCCTGGAAGGAAATAGTCCTGACCAACAATGTCACATCTGAACAGTTAAAAATAAAAAACAAAGCACCGTTTTGTCTCAGTACCTGCTGATTTCGGAGGCTCCGCAGTTCCTGCTCTAGCCGTGTCCTCAGGCGCATTTCCAAGCCTTCTCTTTTCTCACATGTTGATTGCAGCTGAGCAAGAGCCCTCTGCAAACGCTCAACCTTCTCCACATACGCTCTCTTCCTCTGCAGCTCCATCCACAGCTGCTGGCTGCGTGTCTGCGTGGACCTCAGGGTGCTCTCCAGGGCCTCGCTCCTGCGCTGCTGGTTCTCCGCATCGTTTCGCAGATGCTGAACCTCCTGCTCCAGATGTGCACACTGCAGCTGCTGTTCTTCATCTGTTAGAGAACAAAAAATGTGTGTATGTAAATTAAATTGAAATGAGCAGGTCAGATGCTTAGAGAGTCAAATAAATCCAATTTGTGGCCCCCACATGCCAAGTTTAAGTACGTCATCCATGGGTATTATTTGGCATAAAAAAGTGGTGGGGACGGTGGCGGTTTTTCTGTGCACATAACACATAAAGAACATAACAAAATTACTCAAATTTAAACAAAAATTGTTAAAAACTGAAAATATAAACGTAAGAACTAATTACAATTATTATTGTATAAATAATACTAAAATACTAAATGTTCTACAGCGGTTATATTATATTATATTTAGTTGTATTATATTATTATTATGTCTCTGTTTTGTGCAATTTCGTAAGTGGTGGTGACCTTTTGTTTTGACAAACTTAGTAGGAATGCATGAACTGAGGAAATGGTTGCCTTGAAGGCAATGTATGTTGCATAAATGTTTTCTGTACATACTAAGCCATTATGTCCAGTCATAACAGGCATAGGCATTTATTTATCTGAGGACGTGAGAAAGAGGCTGAAGGAATGTTTATGCAGGCCCTCTCCAGCACCACTCCCCATTGGCTTCCTGCTCATAACAAGGGGAATTCAATCGCAAAGTCCGGAGCGCCTCATTTACGCAAGCGGTTAAGGAATGCAGAGGGGAGGAGAAGCGACCCACTCTCCCTTTGACCCACATCTCAGAGCTTCAGATTGTTCTGTTTATTTCCCACCAATCACTGCAAAACTCATCATCGTCCCCGCCTCTTCCAACTTTCAGCAAACAGGAAGTGAGGCTGAGCAGAACATTTTGTTAATCGTCAATGTGGATCAAACGAGAGCATTGACAGTGTTTGGCAGTGGTTAACTGTCCCCTGGCATTCTCCCCCACAAAGCTAAGGTCACATCTGACATTTAATCCTCTTTTCTGATCATTCATCTGCTGTTATGTGACTGAAATTCCTGTGTTGGAACGCTCTAATTGGAAACACATTCCCTCTTTTAGCAAAATGACTCAACATAAAAACAGATCTCACATTTGTAGTGCAACTCTGGGTTAAGAAGTATCCAGAGCATGTGAAACAGTAATGAGGTTTAATGTGGCCGTGTTCATGAACTCACTCTGCAGAAGGAGCTTCTCAATAACATGCTGGTTCTGGTCAGCAGCTTCGGCTTCTTTAGCCGCTTGAATGCTTGAATGCTGCAGCCTCTTGATCTCAGCCATCAGCTTGTTTCTTAGCGCTTGCTCCAGAGTTTCTCTTTTTGCACAGCCCTTCATCAGAGTGTTGTAGGCCTCTGAGATCCTTTCGATCTCTTGTTCCAGCTGGCAGAAAAAAATAAAAAGTTAAAAACAATTAAATAGCATGTCAGATGTGTCCGTCTGAAAACGATGGCCTCAGAAATACTCAAAGATGGTTAGCAATGTTCTTGGTTGTGATTAAGAGCAGAGAACAGAGAAGCTGTTCAGGAGTGCCATATGGAAAGACCAGGATGGCGTTAACCATGACTCCATCATCCCAGGCATGTTTACACAAGGCAGTGGCCTGATGGGTAAATGCTCAAACCTGTGTAATTATCATTCTTTCAGAGTGAGCAACAGCTTAACTGCACTGATGTAATCCACTGGAAACACTTCATGGCCTTTTGGAATTTAGCCAAAGTGAAATGAAAAGCTATTTTATAGTTGTCATCACTCTCTGGTATATAAGTATAGTGTCTATATGTGTGTGCGAAATATTTATTTTATATTATAATAATAGTATGTATATATATATATTTGTATATATATGTTCTTTTCAGACAGATGTCCCAGATCATACAGATTGAGCCTTGCTCAAATGTCTCCAAAACTTAATTTTGTATCCATAGCCATTTGTATTCAATTTGTATTCAGAGAAATAGTGTTATTATATAACCTGTTGTAAACAGCCTGTGTTTTTTTTTTTATTATTAAACCGAGTTATCTTCAGATGGGTGTCCCATTAAGATCTGTATTTACAGTATTTACAGTACAGCTAAATATGTCAGGGTCTTTTACCTTCTGAATTCTGAGGGCATTCTCAGTGTGTCCCTCTAGCTCCTGTCTCAGTCTCTTATTCTCATTCATGAGCATTTCCAGTTGAATGCGACTGCAAGCTGCGACCTCCCTGTCAGCAGGGGGAGATGTGGAGAGCCTGTGGCAAACTTCTGGTGTTTGAAGTCTGGAAGTAGAGCAAGGTAAAAATCATCATGTTTGATGAAAAACTAAACAATGGGATTTAGTTCATCTAGAAGACAATCTACAATAGCATGAACCATATTGCATACTCAGCCATAGCATCAGCCAACAGACTGTTAGTCATAATGACACATCCAATAAAGTACGTCAGAACTGCAGGAAATGCATATAATGTGTCACTGTGGTTAAGTGTAAATTATGCAATTGTTCTGGTCTTCTCTACCTGTTGTGCTGGGAATGAAATGGTGGTGGTGCTTTGTAGCACTGTTCATACTCCGTGGCTTGTTGCAGAGGAAAGGGGTACTCGGTATAAGGCACACGCTTATTGTACTCCAGTCCTTGCTGGCTATATTGTAAGTGCTGGTCTGCATGATATCCATGTATCTGAGGGTAACTGGCGGAACATGTTGCAGGCATTTTATTGTGCTCCATTGAAAACTGCAACGGCCGCTCACTCAGTGACCGTGCGTGGCCTCGCTTCGGGTCCCAGCTGTCTTCTTCCTCACGGGGCATCTGCCTTGTTACACTATCCTCTAGTGAGCAACCCCTGTGCGGTTGGCACCACTGGGAGGCCAAAAACTGAGACTGGGCCTTGGCTTGTTCATAGGTGGGCAGCTCCTCGCCGTGGTGTGGGTGTGTTGTGTAGTTCTCAGAGTGCTGGTAGTCAACCTGGTGCTCCTGACCCTGGGGTTCTTGGCGGGCAGAGAGCTGAGGAGACTGGGGCTCCTCCTGGCTGAGGCTCTCAGATGAAGACTGTGGAGAACAAGCCCCTCCGCTGCCAGTTCCAACACCTCCTCCTCGTCGCAGGGCCTGCTGCTGGATGGCCAGGAGTGTGCGGGCATCTGTAGGGTTTCCATAGCGAAGCTGCTCTTGGATTAGTCTGTGCAGGACAGTCCCAGATGCCTCTTCACCTCTCATTTTATTTGATGAAGATGTGTATTTATGAACTGAACCGGACCTAGAGGGCAAGAGACCCATTAAACAAATGATTATGATTGTTTAAATTCCATATAGATAATAACAGATGAACAGAAAGAAAGAAAGAAAGTAAATAACCATGTTTAAACTCTCATAAGTTAAAGTACTGAATCATTTTTGAATCAGTTTACAGAAAGTGCAACTAGCACATTTTTAAGCAACAGTAACAAAATAAATCTAAACAAACACTAAAAAGTACACTAAAAATGTTGTCATTTTTTGTAACATCTGATTTAACTGGTTTTACCTAGGCTAAGTCAAATAATATGCAAATATTTATTCAACTAAAGAGTTACGCTAAAGACAATAGATACATGTTTTAGATAGGCCTACACTTTTTACAGTATGTTTGAAATTAATAATGATTATTTTAATAAAGCTATTTGTATTATTTATAAATAATTAGGGCTACAATAAGTAGGCTGTATAGCTATATTGGAACATAACTCAATAATAAACAAAATTTAAATAATACAATTTCTAAAATAAAACCAACACAACGCAACTTCACCAACAACTATTCAAATATAGGGCTATTGTTTTCATCCCAATAGAAAGGTAGCGCAGTGAGCGCACTAAAGGGAGCACAATATCTAAAATTCATTATTCCTATAACACGTGCCAAACTAATAAACGTCATAAACATGAAACATTTTTGTTTCATGGATCGTGCTCAAAGCCATTCAGATTTATCGGCGTCACATTTAAAGTTAACGTTACATTTATTTGGGTTTTCTGCCAATTAATGCACGAACGCGTTCGCTGCTATTGATCATTAAACTCCATGTCTGTAGTAGAACGAACATTGAAGAACAACTTACCAACTAACACTTTCATTCCACACGGATTCTGTTAATGGCATGTGTAATAATCCAAGTACTCCAATTTATATCTTCTGTTTGTGTTTTATCTCCTCGTTTTTTTTTTGTGCGCGCGCTTTCGGGTCTGGTTGGGTTATGAGCTGGTAGGCGCGCGCTCTGCTCTCATAAATAACTGAGCGCGCCTGGAATGATCGGAATGTGTGAGCTCAGGGATCAAAAGTGAAAAGAGAAAAAAAGAGCCATTTAATACAGCAGCTGCAGTTCCGCTTTCGTCCACCGGGGCTTTCACAACAGCTACGAGCGCTCAGGTTTTTTCACTAATAAAAAAGTCCTGTGATTTAAGAAAACGGTCCAGTTGTTGTGGTCGAAGGAAATCTATGGCAACATAAAGCCCTGTAGCCTATTAGGCCTACTACAGAGAGGCTAAGCAGTGATGTCACCTTAACAGAGAAAAGGTGTCAAAAGGTGTGACCCAATCTGAAAGGTATGCAGACGTGTTGACACAAGAATACAATAACCAGAGCGAGAAGATCAACTTTGTGTATTTAAGCATATGAAAAGTTATTTGATGCTTTCTCTGGGCACAGTTCTTTAGTTTATCTGTTCAGTCTGTTCTTTTGGCCTTCTGTCAAGTAAATTTTATTCAGTGTCGAGAAATTAAATTTTAGGGGTCTTTCTAAAGAAACAAAAAACATGTAGCACATTCACACACAGATCCAACTGAAGTCCATCTGACACCTCAAATCAGCATATCAGAATGATTTCTGAAGGATCATGTGACACTGAAGACTGGAGTAATGATGCTAAAAATGCAGCTTTGCCATTACAGGAATGCATTACATTTGAGTATATTAAAAAAGAAAACAGTTAATTTCAATTGTAACAATATTTCACAATTTTACTGTTTTTACTGCAATCAAATAAATGCAGCCTTGGTGAACATAAGAGATTGATTTCAAAAACATTAAAAATTATTTTTTGAAGAAAAACTTTTGACTGGTATATAAGAACTCTCATTATCTGAGCAGACGGAGAAGGTGGTGATGACACTTTTAAAAAAACAAAAACATTTACTGAATTCATGAACATTGCAAAAAACTGGACAGTATACCTTTGCCTTGGTCTTTCAGTTTATTTTATTTTCAGTTTATTCAATAGTCTAAAACCAGCAATTCGCCACCAGGAAACAGGGAGGTAAAACCCTGCAACAGCGGACAGGGTGGTAACTGCCTTGTGGATGAATCCTCAAGTTTCTCCTGACTAAAGCAATTAATAAATGGGAAAGGGTGGAATTCCACAGAGTTCGTTGATAGGAATGTTTAATCAGTCAGGCTGGACTGTACGTTGAGATCAAGCACCAGATATCCAATGAAAGAGCACAAGACAAAGAGAATGATGTTTAAAATAACTAGGGAAACTTTATTTGCTCCCTTGTTATGATATTGAGCAATCCACACATTCCCCTCTTGATTTGACTGATAGCAGGGTTATTTCCAGCTAAGTCTCAGACGGTGACTCAATGGGAAACATGCATGTTGTGGACATGTAACTACTTGATTGCAGGTGTGAATGAATGAAGCAGTCACAGGCAAGTCTGTACAAATCTGTGGAAATCTAAGTCGTCCTCAAAATCACTCCCGGAAGCAAATGGAAAGACATCAAAGCACCTCTTAGCAGTGTGATCTTCCATTTGACAGTGAGCTCTCTCACTTTGTTTTTCTCCAACAACCGCTTTGGGAGGCAAACTGGAATATCTCCATTCCTTCAGCCTCCACAATGATATCTTAGACCTCTGAGTTATAAACTGCTTTGAGGGCTGTTTAGAGGAATCACAAGACAGAAGACAACTCAAAGGAGAAAATACAGAGAGAATGAACTCAGAACAACAGGGATCAGATGTGGTTGTTTGGGTCGTGCAAAGCAGGCTCTTGGTATGGGGGACTAGAGAGGATGCTCTATTCTCATCACAATTATGCCTTTATTGGCCGCAAATGGCCTGGCATTTTTTCATGGCACATTTGTGATTTAGGATGCGATTGAAGCAAGAGCCACTGAGATAGCCTACAATGGACCAAGCTGTTTACGGACCTGCAGTGCTCCAGGCCACTTTAT